GGATACTTAGAGGAGTCATGTATGGGAATTCTGATGGGAGTGCCACAGTGTGTATCCTCTCATCAGACAGTTTCTGCCTCGGCTGAGCTTTGAATACAGTCTTTTTTTCCCCTTTCTCTAGATTTTTATCCAGATTGTGGAAGCTTCCTCCGTGATCACTTGGGATTTTGATGTTTGCAAAGGTGACATTGTTTTCAACATTTATCACTCCAAAAGAGCACCACAGCCTCCGAAAAAGGACTCTTTAGGGGCCCACAGTATTACCTCTCCTGGTGGCAATAATGTACAGCTGATAGACAAAGCCTGGCAGCTGGGGCGAGATTACAGTATGGTGGAGTCTCCACTTATCTGTAAGGAAGGAGAGAGCGTGCAGGTGAGAACAATGAGCACAATCTGTACTGATTTGTGACAAAATGCTACCAGAGGCCATCTGAAAATAAGGCATTCCAAGCATTCCAAGCTTCTCAGTAATGGCAGTCAAAGGTAACAGGTGAAATGAGATCTGGAAAAACATTTAAGCTACAACAAAAACATTGTAATAATGTGGAATCTATAAAGACTGATGGTTTGTCTCATTTGAAGTCTACATCAGTCAGGTGATGGACACTAGCCTGCAGAGCACCAAATCTAGAGCATGTCTTATTAATGCTTTTATTGGAAATTATCTTAGGATAGTCCTTCTCAAACAGTTTTACTTCTGGTCCCCCCACCCCTGTAAATGTCTTTGTCCTCTGCCTCCACTCTAAATCATATGCAAACCATCTGATTCACAGCAAGACATTCAGAGATCCTTGTATGTGTATTGGCCTCCTATAAGGATATATTCACTGGGAAGTATATCCAGCTCAGCAAGGTACCATCAATTGCTCCTCAAAAACCATAGGAAGAAACCAATAAAACAAAGCTTAATTTTATTCTGGGGAATGATTTGTGGTAGGCTACTCTGACAGATAAACTGTGAGCACCACAAAACTGAATGATGAGGAACCTCTCCAAGGGAAGACATTTTATCCATCTGCATCTTTGCATGAGACGGGAGGAAGACTGTATCAGGATCTGTCCTTAAAGTGGTGTACCCCTAAGAGTTAGTGCAGCTGAATATCAGTCCCTTTCAGAATCTCTCTCTTAAGTGCCTCTGTAAATCTTAAAAGTGTTATGCGAAAAACAGTACAGTGATGCCTCGCTAGATGATGTTAATCCGTTCCATTGAAATCGCTGTCTTGTGAAAACATCGTCTAGTGAAAAGTGTTTCCCCGTTGGAATGTATTGAGACCCATTTAATGCGTTCCATTGGGGGAAAATAGTCATCGTCTAGCGAAAATCTCCCATAGGGAAGCCATTTTGTGAAGCGCCGATCAGCTGTTTAAATCGCTGTCTTGTGAAGCATCGGTCCCGAAAACACCTGTTTTGTGAAGATCGCCCATAGGGAAGCCATTTTGCGAAACCGCCGAGCAGCTGTAAAAATCATCGTCTTGCGAAAAAATGGTCTGCGAAGCACAGACCAAATCATCGTCCAGCGAAATCCCCCATAGGAAAAACCCTTTTGCAAATCGCTATAGCGATCGCAAAAAGTCAACGTCTTTTAAAAAAACGTTTTGCGGGGTAATTGTCTTGTGAGGTACCAATGTATAGCAGTAGGGAATTCACATGCCTCGTCCAAAGCTGTGTTCAGGTGTTTGTTGCTCTGCAGGAGTGGAGGAAGCTGGTCAATATGTTCTGTCACTCTTCCACTCCTGTTTTGCTTGTGTTGCTAGGGAAGATCCAGAATGGAGCTGTCATAGGAATAGGATTCGATGCATTCAAAAGTTCTGATAACATGGAGAGTTTGACATGAAAAGAGAGGAGCTGAAGCATGCATTGCGAGCTTCTGCTACTCATACAGAGTAACACATATGTGAATGTGTATGCCTTTTAAGCCAGATGGGCGGGGTATAAATCAAATAAATAAATAAATAAATAATCCCGAGAAATCTGTCTTCCTTTGGTTTCGGGGGGAAGGAAGAAAGCTAATGAGATTTGAGGATGAGGGATGTGGAAGTCCACCTCCCCAGAAGTTCTAGGATTCCTAGATTTTTAAGTGGGAGTTTCTTTATCAAGGAACCCTGAAGAAACCCACTGGGTCATTTCTTGCTCTTGCTTCCAGGGGTCCCATGTGACTCGATGGCCTGGCTTCTACATTCTCCAGTGGAAGTTCCACAGTATGCCTGCCTGTGCCACAACCAGCTTGCCTCGTGTGGATGATGTCTTGGCATCTCTACAGGTCTCGTCCCATAAATGCAAAGTGATGTACTATACAGAAGTAATTGGGTCAGAAGATTTCAGGTAGGATCACATGCAAGCACCATCTTTAAATGAACCAGTGAAGGCACAAAGTCTCCTAAAAGAACATTGATACATGTTGCATGGTTGCCTGTGTTGAAAAGCAAAATTATTGAGGACTTTATCAGAACTTTCAAGGTACAACAGTCAGGCTCCTTTCAGTGATCAAAGATGGAAGTCTGTGATGAGATAAGATGTTTTGATGCACTGTGTCCTTTTCATGTGGTGACCCTAGGTGAAAGCAGTCTGAATTTAAAGGTATTTGTTTTGTTTTATAGAAGATAAGGTATCATAATTTAAAAACTAAAATTACTGTTTTATATGTGCACTGATTGAAAAATATTTATTTTCATAGAATGAATGATCTCAAAACTTTTGCATTAAAAAAATACTATCATTTGGATCTATTAATGCTCAGCAAACATAGCACGTATTGGAGTAGACGTGGTGGCGCTGTGGGCTAAAGTCAGATTTTTTAAAGGTAAAATGAATAATCAGATTGTGCAATAACAATTTGGCTATATGTGCTGTCTAAAAATGTGATGCTATTCACAAATATCATTTTGTCAGATGGAAAAGCAATTAATATTCTTCTCTAGTTTAGCAAGACACTCTTAGCAGTGACTGTAACAAATGCAGACACAGAGGACGGATACTTAGAGGAGTCATGTATGGGAATTCTGATGGGAGTGCCACAGTGTGTATCCTCTCATCAGACAGTTTCTGCCTCGGCTGAGCTTTCAATACAGTCTTTTTTCCCCCTTTCTCTAGATTTTTATCCAGATTGTGGAAGCTTCCTCCGTGATCACTTGGGATTTTGATGTTTGCAAAGGTGACATTGTTTTCAACATTTATCACTCCAAAAGAGCACCACAGCCTCCGAAAAAGGACTCTTTAGGGGCCCACAGTATTACCTCTCCTGGTGGCAATAATGTACAGCTGATAGACAAAGCCTGGCAGCTGGGGCGAGATTACAGTATGGTGGAGTCTCCACTTATCTGTAAGGAAGGAGAGAGCGTGCAGGTGAGAACAATGAGCGGTAGAAGGGGGCACAAAAGGAGCTATAAAGGCCTTGTGAGTTGCTTTTCAGGTCACTGAGAAAGGAGAACAGATCAAAAGAGACCAGACTTGACTGTGTAGCTTCCATAGCCGCCTAGAGTGGTCGTAATTGACCAGATAGGCGGGATATAAATAGAATAAATAAAATAAATAGTTCCATTCTGTGGTTATAAAAGGTCCTGGTGAGCCATCTGCTCCATTTGGCCAGCTTAAATACCAGCTTCATGGTCCCAATATTTTTCCCTGCTTGTGACTACAAGGCTGCACAGATTGTCATGAAATCAAATCCTATATTGAATATCAAATTGGAATACTGTTTTTTTAACCAGACTACCTGAAAATGTGTTTGCACCTACTTAAGGATGATTAAATATTGCTCTGCCCTAGTGATTTCAAGAAGGGTGAAAAATAAATAAGCCTGAGGAATGCAAAACTGTCACTCTAGCTGCAATCTATTTGACAGATTGAGTACTAAAATAAAAACTTCTTGGCTTGACAACAGTTGTATTAAAGAGGACTTCCAGCCTGCATGGCTGAAGACATTCCACTTGCACTGTGATGTTCAGGATAATCAAGTTTGAAACACATCACTCTCCTCAGATTAATTTCAGTCCTTGATCATAAATGGCCATGTCACATGGGAGCATTTTTTAGTACATGGCATCAAGAAGAAATTTATTTAAAGTGACTGAGATTAAAAGTTTATTTGCATTTTTGCTTATCAAGCAATTAAAAAATATTTTAATTCATTTCATTAGTCACAGGCTGAACTCATGTTTAAAATGAGAAAAAGAACTCCTTTATGGAAAGCCCTGCCAGTAGGGCTACATAGTGTGTGCATTATGTGTCATCAAGTTAGAACTGACTTATAGTGACCCTAAAAGGGTTTTCCAGATAAGTGAAATGTTTAAGAAGTGGTTTTACCAGTTCTACTCCCCCAGTGAGTTTCCATGGCTGAGCAGAGATGCGAACCCTGGTTTTCAGTGTCTGAGATCCTCATTTTATCCACTACACCACATTGGATATTGGGGAGCCAGTAGTAACCCTAAAAACCATGGAAACGCATTGGGGGAGTAGAACTGGTGAAACCACTCCTTAAATATCTTGCTTGCCTTGAAAGCCCTATTAATGTCACCATAAATCAGTTCCTACCTGATGGCACATAACTAACAAAACCAGTTAATACTTTTTTGGTTGTATTTGATCCTTTCTATTTATCATTTGTATTCCTTGATAGAAACTGCCTCAAGGGGATGCTTACCCTAAAAGTCAAATAATAGCTATTTTGAATACTGATTGTGATCATTTATTCAGGTTTCTTAGTTTAATCGATTGTGCCAGCTACTATATGCTCTGGAAGGCATGTTTGTTGAAAGATGATATAGAAGTCAAAATCAGCAAATCCTTTCAGCAGCCAACATGCTAAAATGTTTTATGTTTCTTTTGGCAGGGGATCTATGACCAGCCTTGAATCAAGTCACAGTGGATTTTCTCAGCTGAGTGCTGCTACAACCTCTTCCGGCCAGTCTCAATCCAGCTCCATGATTTCCAGGTAGTGCCACTGCCAACCAAAAGCCAGTTGATGAGATGGCCGGACCCTCGTCTATGGCAGTGAACTGCTGTACAGCATAATCACCAGTGACAGTTGCAAAAATACCAATCCCACGAAAGTGGAAGGCCTTTTTATAGATAGTAAAGTAGCTGTGTGCATCTAAGTATGCTGGTTTTGTTTTGAATTAGAGCTGAAACAGTGTGTCTAATCTTAACTAAGTAGCCATAGATTTTCTTTTAAATATATATATAAAAGATGCTTGCACAAATCCTAACTTGGAACTGCAAGGGCTGTTTTGCAAAGAAATAAGTAATCAATGTGTCACTGGTTGCAAATTTATTTTAAATAATTAATACCTTATCAAGATGTTCTGTTGTGAATTGAGAATTTACCGTAAAGTTTTTTCCCAGTGAGGCCCTCGCAAAAGTTCTCTGTTTTTGCTACTGTGAGCTTCTTCCTGTTTTACTCCCAGCATTAAGGCCTGGAAGGGAGCAGTGGCTGAATTTTTGACATTTCATGAAGTGCCAGCTGGTGACTGGCTGAACTGTATCATTTTCTCTCACTTTGTCATAGATGACAAAGGAAGCAGAACTGCTGTCAGACTCAGGCAGCCATTTTGATATGAATACATTCTACAATCACAGCGTTAAGGGCATATATACTCCAGCTTTGGGCACTGAAAGGTTTTAAGCCAGAATTCTGCTTCTGAGCACTCAAGGTGAGAAGGAATAAGGGCAGAGCAGACTTTTCCTCAGTTCAGCCCAAAGGCTGGCCCCCTTTTGGGTCCTCAGGTTCATTCCTTTTGGAATTGTATTTATCCACATTGCCTGCCATCTTTTCTCCCTTACTTAACAAAGACTTACTGAACGGTGACCTCCTTCCTGCCGATAGCTTATAAGAGGAGCCGGGGGGGGGGGGCTGCAGAAGTTCTTCCTTTTCTGGTCAATTTCTAATTCTTTTATCTGTCCCATGAAGGCAAAGAGAAACCTCATAGGTCGGGAGTCCATGCAGCCTCTAAACAAAATCATCTCCGATGACAAGTGTGATGGCCACTAACCCTTCCCAATCCATTTTTTTTTTATATAAAGGAGGCTTTAACTGCGATGCTCAACAGTAAGCCTCAACAGTCACTTCGTTAATATTCTGAAAGGTCTCCGCTTGAAATTTTGCCAGGAATTTTGGGAAGCTCAAGGCCAAAAATGTGCTGTGTCGCTTCAGACTTTCTTAGCTTACGCTGCAATCCATTCCTGAAGTGGGCAGTATTTGCTAAAGTGACTCCTACTTCCTGGGCCCCACTCCTGAGACCAGAGAGACATTTCAGATCCTGGGCCCTCCCTTAGAAAAACAGGTTCTCACCTAGTAAAAAAGACTCTGCATGCATGGTTTGTGGAACTCAGTGAGTGGGCTTCCCTGTAGAAAAGGAAATGATTAATGTAAACTTCTTAAAGAGAATTTGCTAAAGATCTGATTGTGAAATGCCTACACTTACTTAAAGGATAAAATGCTGATCAAGGTAGTGTCATTAGAATTAGGCAGAAGCGTGGTCACACTACAGGCTAACCGAGAAAACAGATTTGTTTCCTGTTTACCTGCACATGCTACAGTTGCTTTCCTAACTGCTGTCTGTGACAGCTGTTTATCCAGTAAGATAGCAAGAGATCAATCTTCAGTAACAGTTTTAATTATCGGTATGTAGTCGTGAACATTGGTTCCTGCTTTAGAGGCATACAGTGTCATGCCAAGCTCTGTCATACATAGGTCAAGGCTCTGGTGCCCTCTTTTTTCCCCATTTGCAAGGGCTCTGTCTTGAAAGATGGTCCCCTCTTTTTCTCTCTCTCTCTCTCTCTCAGATGGCGATTTTGCTGACAGCTGTAAAGAAACCGCTTCAGTCAACAGTCCACATCAGCCTAGAGATGTCTGGCTGTGTAGAACCCCTTTTTTGGCATTGCAGTCACTTCTGCTGTCTGAAGACCTCTTAAGTTTGCTCTGAAGTGTCCCTTGGGGATGCTTTTTCTCTAGACGTCTAGTGCGTCTTTCAGAGCTCAAAGCACAAACACTTGAGGGTGTCCATACATCACAGAAAGCAAGACACTTTTTAGCGGAGTGCCATGGCAACTGTGACCCAACTAACCTTATGTTCTTCTCCTTAGCGTATGAACTGAACCGTTGTTTGTACTCCGCTCTTTCCTGCCAGAGCTGCTAATTCTACTGGTCCTTCTTCCTCTGAACTCAATTTATCAGCCTAGTCTCTCCTTCTTTGTGTTCATGAACTTCATATCACTCTCTGTAAATGTTTTGTAAGCATATTACCTCAATCTTGGTAATAAGATAACAGTCTTTAAAAGATTTTTTTTATTTGTATCAATAATAAATGTGAACTCTTTGGGGGGGAATGGCCTGAGTTTTTTTTTCCTTTGTCTTGCTTTCGAAGATATGCTTTCCAAACAAGTGCTAAAGAAGAAACAGTGTAAAGATTGTGCTGACCGAAAGGGACTATTATGCTTTCGATGCCCAATGTGGCATAGATTTAGAAGTCTGCCTCTCCTCTCCTCTTTTCACAAGGCTTAAGTCAAGCAATACAGCTAGGCTACAGAAGACTCTGTTTAAGGTTCCAGCCAGACTGAGGATTCTAGAACGGTCTGGTGCACTGATATAGTACATTGTATCTCATGTTGTCTTTGTGTCAGTTGCAAGGCCTATCTGTGCTGTTGGGTTCATTGGACGTGTTGCCAAGCGTTGTGAAGTATGGTAAGACATCACTCTTTCCTTACTCTCTGTCTGGGTGCTGTTTCCCTTGAGGTCCCTGATGTAGCATATCCAGACAAACAGATGATGCTGGGTGGGGACAACCTAGGGGTTACTCTTTAATTTAGGTAAAGGTAAAGGTTCCACTTGACAATTTTTGTCCAGTCATGTTCGACTCTAGGGGGCGGTGCTCATCCCCATTTCTAAGCCATAGAGCCAGCGTTTTTGTCTGAAGACAATCTTCCGTGGTCACATGGCCAGTGCAACTTAGACATGGAATGCTGTTACCTTCCCACTGAGGTGGTCCCTATTTATCTACTTGCATTTGCATGCTTTCGAACCGCTAGGTTGGCGGGAGCTGGGACAAACGACGGGCACTCCATCGTGTGGATTCAATCTCAGGACTGCTTGGTCTTCTGACCCTGCAGCACAGGCTTCTGCGGTTTAGCCCGCAGTGCCACCACGTCCCTTTTACTCTTTAATTTAAGACCACCTTAATAAAGAAATACAGATGAGCAAGGAGCAGATTCTTTGTGTATAAGAATCACATCAAGATGGGGCCTTTGAGGAGAAAGCACAATGACGTTCAGCCACAGGTTGGATTCAAATGTTGAGAGGATTGAAGAGGAGAGCCCCATAGAATAGTAGATTACGTACAGGAACAGCTACTTTTATCTCCAAGCAATCTCACTATCTTAAGGGCAACACACACTTCTTGCATTTTTAAAAAGCAGTATCTGGTTCTGTGGCATATAAATCATTGTATGTGCATGTTTGACAGAGTTCTAGTGAAAGAAAATGCCTATCCTGAGTGGGCATCTGCACACTGACAGATGTATGGCAGTGCCTATTTATGAGCTGTATCTCTTCGGTGCACAGAGGACGCTTGCCAAGAAGCAGTTCCTAACAGACACAAAGGCCAGAATTGTCTTTATTCATGCAATTTGTATAAGGGTGATGGGGTAAGTTTTTCTTCCCCTCCAGCAGGCTCTGTGTCATGTACCCAGTACTGCAGTGATTACAGTATTGTGCACAACCAGTTGTGCATTGAAGCATCCAAAGAGCAGCCAAACGGGTGAAGATGGCTGCACAGCTGCATTTAATGCTGTTTCACCAACCGGATGTTAGCCAAAGGGACTTTATTCTGAGTAAATATGAATTGTGTTGCATCGTTAGGTCTCCCAAGAACAGAACAAGAATTTTGACCCAAGAAAGAGCATTCCTTTTTCTTAAATACAAAACAAAAGGTTTCTTATGTGCTCTTCAGAGAAGAAGCCGTTTTTATAGTCCCTTTTAGGATGAACAACGAATATTGTGTCACTATCAGGTTGATTTCACTGTGAGATTTTTGTGGGTTGCAGTCCACACCTGTGAATTTCCTATGCTCCAGCAATTTTGTCTAGTTAGGTTTTTAAAAACATACATGTACACAAACAGGTAACGAGCAACAAAGAGATATAGAAACAATGCCAGGTTGGGTAGAGGGGAGAAATGAACAAATTTTACTGGCAGCAGTTTCCCAGAATACATTTTTGAACATACAGATTGGTACTTTGTGGACCAGACATGCATGTGCTGGTATATTATGCTGCTATAGCAACAGTTGCTGTGTTATCTTCCAGTCCTTTGATTGCTCACAGATTATCACAGACTCCAATGAAATAGCTTGCCCAATGTGCCTTGTCATTTCTCCTTTACCACCACCTGCTGGTTACATGTGAACTGGACAGATCTGTTTAGGACAGTGCTTTGGCTGGAAATGTTCCCCCCAGTGTACCAAGAGCAGTACAGTTGGCAGCTTGAGAAGCATAGTAAGGGAAGATTCAACTGAAAAGTTACATACTTTTTTGTTTTTAATTTTTTTACAAATTTTAGCAAAATTATAAACCTGTAAGTCTTAAGTGCCTATTTGTGTATTGGATAGGGTGATGGACTAGGATTCAAGAGATATGTGTTCAAAACCCTACTCAGCTGTCAAAACTCACTGGGAGTGACAATGGTAGAACTACTCCCTAAACAGTTCACATGTTTTGAAATCCCTATTAAGGTTATTAGAAGTTGAGTACAATTGGTGACACATAACAACACACCTAACTTTACCATAAGTGTCATTTTAGTCTTATCTAAACTTGCAATAGCAATTTCTAAGAAGAAGAAAGATTACACAGCCCCCAGACTTGGCTGAAAAGCTCCTTTGAAACCTGCAAGCAAAGAATGAATGCTTTGTGCACACATCTAAAACACGTGACCGTCTCACCTGATGTAGTGACTGACCAGCTGTGTGTACACATCACAAAGAAGCTTTGCTGCTGAAATCCACTGGCTGCGCATGCAGCAGGCGCCATGCGTTGCTTCACAAAACATGGTATGTCCATGCTCGTGATATTTTCTTCATCCTGCACAATGGGCCGTATCAACTTTGGTATGCCAATGTTAGCCTTCTGAAAACATTTCTTGCTAGCTTTTTGCAGACCGGCAGCTGTTTCATGGATAAACCACTACTGTGGCACACAGGGAGAAAAACTGCCAAAGTACTGTCCCAGAGTGCCAAGACCTGCAGGCTGCGTGATATCCACCTCTCTTACAGAAATAAACATGTGAGAATTATGTAAGCCCCTATGCAGATTGACCTAGTGGGGGGGGAACCCAGGAGGTGATAAATTGTAATTCTTAGAAATTTCATAAGTTGGCATTTAGCACATTTCATTTTTTTCTCTGCTTAGTGTTACTTGTTCATAATTCCTTCCTTAGGGTGAGCTTGCCTCCTGGAGTCCCCAAGGTTCTGGCAAGAAACTGGAGCTATAGCAAACAGCACCCTGATGTAGGTTATTCAGACAGGACTGGTTGGGTTCTGACTCCCCCTCTCCTTTGAAATGAAATTGTGATTGCCCATTAGGAAGGCCCATGCTTTATAGATGTCAGCTAGCAACAAGGGTAGGATTGCCTATACTGAAAAAGGTAGTTCCATTTTCAAAACCAAATGATTATTACGAAATCTGCTGTTTAAAAATGAAGTAAAGGCGACTTTGCATTGGCTCAATTCCACCATCTCCAGGGAACCCTAAGTGAAGACAGATGTCTTAAAAGGACATACCTAGGGATCAGTAGCGACCGATGTGCGATTTCATAAATCGTGTGTGTTTGGTCTTCTGGGACTATGGCCAGAAGGAGATGGGGGAGCAAGGAGGTTACACATGGTCCTGTATAAGCCGTTAGGAAGCATCTGAATATTGACTAAGGGTGTACAGAAGCATCCAACCCATTCTCCATCTACAGATCGGCATCAACCTGTCCTATGGCCTTTAGGAGACATTCTGCCCCACTTTGGGCTAGTGCGCTCCCTTATTTACTCTGGCACAGTAGCAAAGAAGAGTCATGGAGTTTTTGTTTTGGTTTCCACCAGACAGCTGCAAATGGAAGTAAAGAGCTTCCTGCTTCTCTGCAGCTGTACCTAAGAAGGGAGGCGAAGGGGAATTTACAAGCCAGAGGTTAATCCATATACCACAACTCATAGTTTAACAGTGAGCCTCAGCCCAGCCTCTTATGCCCATCATTTCACAGAAGCAATCCTGTCAGCAGAGTAAGGTAACAAAATTCTTTATTAAGAAATAGGGGTTTCACTTCTGCCATAAGCTTTGAAAATCTAGAAGAATTCTAGTGAAATGAACCAGTGAGAATCTAACCCGTTCATTGGCTGAAATCCTCCACGTGCATAAGGGGGATAGCATGAATTGCCACTAAGAGCAGGCCAGATAGCTCACTGGTTTAGATATCTGGGTGTGGTGCCAGAGGCTGGGAGTTCAATTCCCCACGGTGCTTCCTGCGAGAAGAGCCAGCCTGTGTGGCCTTGGGCAAGTTGCACAGTCCAGGGTGTCACCAGGAGAAGAGGATGATAAACCACTTCTGAGTATTCTTTACCTGGGAAACCCTGAAAGGGTCACCAGAAGTGAAACCTGACTTGACGGCACATAGTTATTATTATTAATTGTGATTTTGGGCTGTATGTGACTAATACGTGATGTGACAATGTCGTGTACACCCCCAAAACATCAAAGAAAGTCTTTAATCAGTGGCATTTTTTTTTGCTGCTAATGACATGTTGCTGCATAGCAGGATTCCATCCAAAGTATCAGTGCTTTTTAGCTGTGCAGAGTCAGATATGGCCACTAGATGATGCTATTAATCTTTTAAAAACTCATTGCTACTCCAGGGAAAGAAGTTGAGAGTCAAGAAGAGGGAGAGGGAGAGGGAGAGAGAATAAGCGGTGACATATATGAATAAAACATGGCATTTTGTTATGACCAGCCTTGCTAGTTAGTGGAAGACAGCAAGGTCATATGGAAATATTGGAAGTTTGTAACTGAATACTTTTTTGTTGTCTCTGTGATTTGGACACATGGGTTTTCTGCTCTTGCAGAGAAGGTCGTTGGAACGTTCAGGATTTATGGGCACATTTTTAAAGTATAAATTTTACTAGAGCAAGAAAAATTTCTACCACATTCTCATGTTTAACCATTAATAGAACAAACGCAGAGACGTGCACACACATGGTTCTACTGTAGGGATGTGCACTGGGCTCAAATAAGAAATTCTACGTCTGATTAGGACCGATGTGTATGAGATCCAGGTTAATGTAGACTGGCCAGGTTTGGTTCT